GAGCAAAGGCCACACTCCTTGAACAGGATTAGTCTTTATATGAAATTTATGGTAGTAAAGTCAACAAAGTAGCAGTGATGTTCAGGAGAAGGAGGTTGCAATGTCATGGTGACACTGGAAGCATTTTGGGAATAATATTCCAGAGTGCCTCAGCATAACATTCTGGATGTACTCTGGGTGAGCAAGTACATGGTGCATTTCTTTGAACTTTGGCTTGCAACAGGTGGGTGAGGAGTTCCTGAATGAAGTACTTTTGTCTTGAGGGTGGTCTATTAAAGCAGACTTTCTGGCAGTACCTTGCCCTACAGCTTAGGATCCAGTACAAAGAAACCAGTGGCTCTGTTGGTCTGGAACTGCCTTTGGTTCTTGATGACAACAAAGAAATTGCAAGGGAATTCTGACTTCCCCATTCTATGGTTTTCCAGGATACACAGCTACCAGAGGCCTGGAGAGCCAGTGCTGATTTGTCCCTTGCTAGCCACAGTGCTCAGAGGGAGGTGCATGGCTGAAGTGGGCTTTCCTATATTCTTCCTCACAATAGGGTCAGCAGCCCCTGCCCAGAGACTGATTCTCGCCTGCCTCAGCTTCCTGAAAGCCTGGTTGATGTCGCTTTGCAGTAGAGAAAGGGCCACGGTCACAGTAAATCTGCCTTTCTGAAAGCTGTGCTGAAATGACACCAGGATTAGGCCACTGAAACCCCTGTCATGGTGGAAGGGCTCAGAACCCTCAGGGAGCCCACATACCAGGTTCTAGGAAGAAGCCGCTGGTCTCCTGGTTATGATGAGCCTCCTGTGTGTTCTGGCTGCTGCTATCAGTGTGTCATTCCCTTTGATTTAGCCTCAAATAAGAGACAGATTGTTTTGCTATAGAGACTATCACATTAGGACGCCTTACACCATGTTAACGACCCATTGAAATGAGAGCTGGAAGTTTTCCCCAAAAACGTCGTCGCGCAGGAGACATTTTGCTGATGTTTAGTGGTGAGCAAGGCAAAGGGATATTATGGTTTTTTCCTTTTCTGGAAACTTTCTCACTGCCGTGCCTCAGAAAATCAAGTTTCTCATAGACTTTTCAAAGTGATTTGTCAAAAAGATGGCCTAACCCAGGAATACCCCTGGAGCTGTAGGCTGACGGGGAGAGGTGGCATACATACTCTGTGGTGCTGCCCAAATTAAATGTTGAGAGCTGATGGGAGAATAAAAGTTAATTATTCCAATACAAGAAAAAAAAAGGGCTTGGCCTGGTGGCTCACGCATGTAATCTCAGCACTTTAGAGGAGGCCGAGGTGGGCCAATCACGAGGTCAAGAGATCGAGACCATCCTGGCCAACATGATGAAACCCTGTCTTTACTAAAAATACAAAAATTAGCTGGGTGTGGTGGCGCATACCTGTAGTCCCAGCTACTCGGGAGGCTGAGGCAGGAGAATCCCTTGAACCCGGGAAGCAGAGGTTACAGTGAGCTGAGATGGCACCACTGCACTCCAGCCTGGTGACAGAGCAAGACTCCGTCTCAACAACAACAAAAAAAAAGAAAGTGAATTAGGGCCAGGTGTGGTGGCTCACGCCTGTAATACCAGCACTTTGGAGGTCCGAGGCAGGCGGATCATGAGGTGAGGAGATTGAGACCATTCTGGCTAACACAGCAAAACCCCGTCTCTACTAAAAATACAAAAAACTTGGCATGGTGGCACACGCCGGTAGTCCCAGCTACTCAGGAGGCTGAGGCAGGAGGATTGCTTGAACCAGGGAGTCAGATGTTGTAGTGAGCCAAGATCACGCCACTGCATTCCAGCCTGGCGACAGAGCAAGACTCTGTCTCAAAGAAAAAAAAATGAATTATTCCCCTTAAAATTTCCAGTGTAGAAGTGCTCTAAAAAATATTTTATTCTACAAAAATCTGATTCTCTTCCATGAATTGGTTCTGTAATCTGGGTGACACTGTTGACCTTATTGAGGGCTCACTCTTCACAGAACTCTACCAATGGGTACAGAGAGGTTTGGAAACACAGGCACTTAAATAGCCACGGAAAGATAAAGATTATACAAGGAAAATCATTTTTCTCCTAAAAGCCTTAGTTAGATTCCCTTCAAAGCAGAACGTAAGAAAGGATTTTAAATGCAAGGAGTTTATTTGGGAAGTGATCCCACGAAGCAGATGTGAGTGGTGGGAAGAATAAGACAAGGAAGGAGGAGAAGTCAATGTAAGAGTACAGTTCCAAGGCCCCGGGGGCTTGATGCCACCAGAACTTCCAAGAAGCATTCAGAGTACCTCCTAGAACTGCCTATGTGAGGACAGGAGCCTGGCTGTTTAATCACCAGCTTTTGTGTCCCTTCAGGCTAGCCCCAATGGCTTGAGCTCCACCTCCTGTCCAGGCAATACTTGTGGCATGCAGGCAGGCTCAGAGGAGGCCCTGCAGCCAGAAATGGGAAGTCTTCAGGCATATGCTTTTGGTGGGGTATTGTCAACAGTGAGTCTGCACTTGCCCAGAACCATCTAGTGCAGCTGCCGCTGAAATAAGAGTCCGCAAGCATCTGAAGAAAAGATCAGTGTTCCCATATGAAAAGAACCGGTGTATTAGAAATACCACTGGGGCACCTAATCCAGAGATCAGGGAAGGCTTCCTGGAGGAAGTGGTTTTAAAGCTGAGATAAGGCTAGATATGGTGGCTCATGCCTATAATCCCAGTACTTCAGGAGGCCAAGGAAAGAGGATTGATTGCTTGAGCCCAAGAGTGTGAGACCATAGCAAGACACTCTCTCTACAAAACATAAAAAAATTAATTGAATGTGGCACACACCTATATAGTCCCAGCAACTCAGGAGTCCGAGGTGGGAGGATCACTTGACCCAGGGAGGTTGAGGCTGTAGTGAGCTGTGATTGCACTGCTATACTACAGCCTGCGTAACAGTGCAAGACCCTGTCTCTAAAAAAGTAAATACATAAAAATTTGTTTTAATTAATATATTTTAAAAGGGGGTAAATGAAGAGACATTTAAGCAGAAAGACATGATAAGCTTTGTGTTTTGGAAAATTCAGTCTAATTACAGCATGTCAGTAGATACCAGGATAGGACCATTGAGTGAGGCTAGGGAAAAACAGGTCAGGGAGACCAGTAAAGAGGCTGTTGAATTATCCAGGTGATATAAGAATGAGAACCAGGGCAGTAACAGGAAGATGAGAAGGAAAAAGGTTTGAGACACAGTAAGTTTCCATATCCCCACTCATGCTCCATTTCTGGTAAAATGGTGAAAGAGAAAGTGTGTGTGTGTGTGTGTGTGTGTGTGTGTGTGTGCACGCGCGCATGAATGTATGATGTAGGGATTGAGTTGTCTGGAAAACAATGCTTAGAAGATATGAATTGAAAGCTCATGAAGAGGTATTTGGAGTTTTCTTAAGCAAACTGGGAAGTAAAGTAACTGATGAGAAACTCTCAAGTCACTTCTCGTCTGGAGGCAAGACAGCGCAGTGCACCATCCTGAGAGTCAGGAGAGATCTTGCCTTGTCCCAGATCTGCATCGTTATTGCTTTGACCCTTGTTTTATCATTTAATCTCTCTGAACTTTGTTTATTTGTCCAACTTAATACAAAGATGATGAAGTTTGCTCGGCCTATTCTGAATTCATCTTAAGCTCAGCATGTTCTGGGGTGTGACCCACTAGGGAAGCTAACATCCTCTCCACTAAAGTTAATAGAATGAGAATATTTAGGGTCGTTGTTCAGTACCAGCAGTCTGGTGTTCAGTGTGGACACTGGCCTATTGGCTCACCCCCAGCACAGCGGGTGAGTGGTCCTTCACCCTGTTGTGTGGCAGTGATGTAGGATTTTTGGAATGGGTGAGGGTGATATAGGTTATTTCAAAGATGATCCTTTCCAACTCTGAGACTGGGTTCTCTGTCACAGGCCTTAGTGAGAGTTAGATGAGATCATGGCCACGAAAGCACTTGAAGAACAAACATTCTAGACTTTAAGTAAAGGTATTATTATCAGTAGACCATGTGACATTAGCTCATACTTTTTAAATGTTTAGCTTTCTTGCATATTCCCGTGGGGCAGAAAATAACTTCCAAGTTCCTACATGCTGGTAGATGATTTCTTTTCATTTCATAAAGAGACCAAATGTTCCCTCATACCATCTTCTTATGAACTAGCTGCATTTTGTTTTTCTTATTTTATCTCATACGTTTAACAATGACTGGAAACATTTGACCTGCCAAGACTTGAATTTGGGCATCTGGGGTTTCTCCCACTGTCCATGATGGTATCACCAGCAAGTGGAGCACAGGCTGTACATTCCTCTTGTGAGCTTTCAGAGTGAGGAATGTTCTTCACCTCCTGGGAAAAACCAGGGCCCAGCTCACAGGAGTTGAAAGGAAACTGATTTTAGAACCCTTTTACAGGACTGTGACTTTTCACTCATCAGTGTTGGAAACTGCTTCTCTTTCGCTTAAAAGAACCCCCTGGGGCTTTAAGCTCAAACGATGACAGTGACTCAGAGTGGCTCATGCTTATTGCACCTTGATGCTGTGCCAAGTGCTGTTTTAGCCCTTTACATGTAAGATAAACCTCAGCCTGTGAGTACGCATTCGCTCTGTAGATTAGGAAACCAAGAAACATGCAGTAAATAACTAGCCTGGAGTCACACAGTTAAGTTGGAAGTTGGACCTTGGCATGTGACTCCAAAGCCCTTCCTGAAGCTCGCTGCTTCTCCCCTCCTTGCAAGTAGAGACCTGCCACACAGAGCCCACAGAGGTCTGAGGGAGGCAGGATTTCCTGTTCGCCGCGCAGGAGAGCAGTCAGAGGTGTTAAGCAGGAAAAGCACATTAGAATTCCAGTTTACTTACAGTGCTCTCCATACCAGGAAGGAAATACCCCAAATATGAACATGGCTTTCACCAAGACAAATGGCTCCAATCTAGGGGATTCCCATGTGCATCAGAAAAACTTAATCTAGAGATCAGAGTTTTTACCTGCTACATCTTTCATATTTTCTTTCCTTAGGTTAAAAAGATCAAGTGGCATGAGCAGCCTTTTGGGGAAAATTGGTGCCAAGAAGCAGAAAATGAACACCCTTGAGAAGTCCAAACTGGACTGGGAGAGCTTCAAGGAGGAAGAGGGGATTGGTGAAGAACTGGCCATCCATAATCGAGGGAAAGAGGGGTAAGAAGGAGTAGGTTATATGCCTTGGAAAATCCTCAGAACTCTGAAACAAAATGATTTTTTGGAGACCAACTGCCCACTGTAAGCAAGCGGGAGATTTTCATGATGGAACTAAAAATGTGAGCACTTTGGTTCGTCAGTGAGGCTCTGTTCCAATGTGGGGCTGGGCTGTCATCGGGAAGGCCGCTGCAGGTGGAGGGAAGGCGGGGCATGCGAGGAGTACTTCTCTCAGGGCCAGTCACGTCTGCCAAGCTGAGTTTGCTGAATTACAGCTCCAGTGAACTGTAAGTTGCTTAGTGGTTGGATCCAGCCCACCATAGCAGCCTTGGCCTTACCTGAATCATTTGTATTTCGGAGAAGCCAAACCAGTTCAAATCCTTCAGAAACAGAGCCAGTGGAGTTCCTAGGTGTTGCATTATTGTGGAATTTTTTTGGTCTGTATCATCATGGCCCAGGGTGGGGCTTTACCTTTGGCTATATCCTGTGTGATGGGCCACACCCACCCTCAAACAGTATCCCAGGCCACTGCTTGCACCTCCTGCTCTTCACTGTGGCATACAAAGAGGATGTTCAGAACCTATGTATTCAGTTGTGAAAAGGGTCCTCTCCTTGTTGTATTTGTCTTACTGGTGATTTAACCAAAAAATCAAGAAAGAAATAGTGGACAGGCACGGTGGCTTACACCTGTAATCTCAGCACTTTGGGAGGCCGAGGAGGGTAGGTCACTTGAGGTCAGGAGTTCGAGACCAGCCTCGCCAACATGGCAAAACCCGATCTCTACTAAAAATACAAAAATTAGCCAGGCATAGTGGTGCACGCTTGTAATCCCAGCTACTTGGGAGGCTGGGGCAGGAGGATCACTTGAACCCAGGAGGCAGAGGTTGCAGTGAGGTGAGATCAAATCACTGCACTCCAGCCTGGGTGACAGAGCAAGACTCTGTCTTAAAAAAAAGAAAGAAGGGCCGGGCGTGGTGGTTCACGCCTGTAATCCCCGCACTTTGGGAGGCCGAGGCAGGCGGATCACAAGATCAACAGATCGAGACCATCCTGGTCAACATAGTGAAACCCTGTCTCTCTTAAAAATACAAAAAATTAGCTGGGCATGGTGGTGCATGCCTGTAATCCCAGCTACTTGGGAGGCTGAAGCAGGAGAATTGCCTGAGCCCAGGAGGCGGAGGTTGCGGTGAGCCGAGATTGCGCCATTGCACTCCAGCCTGGGTAACGAGAGCAAAACTCAATCTCAAAAAAAAAAAAGAAAGAAAGAAATGGTGTTCATAAGTACTTAGGGACCTCAGAAGGCACTAAGGAAGTTACCATGGAAGTGGTGGCTTCATGTCTCAAGATCAACAGTCCTCATTCCTAGCCATGAAAAGAAATGTTGACTGGCCCACCAGAGAGCCCTGGCTGCTCAGCAACTCTGCCCCTCACCGGTAAGCTCTTCTCCAGCAGCATACTGGGCACCTCTGAGGCTCAGCTCCTTCACCAATAAAATTGGGACAGTGATACCATCCTCACTTTGTGGTTGTGATGATCTCATGAGATAATATATGTGTTGCTTACATATATGTAATATACATAAACCACTTTACAGAACACTTGTCACATAAAGGCTTGCATTAAGTCCAGGTCATTCAAATTGTTTTTTTGTTTGTTTGTTTTTGTTTTTTTGAGACAGGGTCTCACTGTGTTGCCTAGGCTGGTCTCAAACTTTTGGGCTCAAAGGATCCTCCTGCCTCGGCCTCCTGTGTAGCTAGGACTACAGGGGCACACCCCTGCACCAGCTCATTCAGGTTATTAATGACAGGCAAGGGACTTAGTTGGGGGTGATATTTCTAAGTTAGGCTTCAAGATTATCTAAATGAACCTGGAAGCTGACTAGTATGTTTTGTTTTGTTTTGTTGTTTTAAAGAAATACTTAAACAGCTTTATGAGCTTGTTTAAACTAGCAGACTTCTAGGTCATTCTAAGCTGGAATGCTACAGGACAGGGAGAAGGAGCCAGAGTGATGTGGGGAAGGCTCTGGATGAAGCACAGTGTTGTCTCATCACAAGTGGCAGCTCTGACATGTGCCCCAAACCTCCTCATTCAGATTCAGCTCTAGTAACTCACGCTCCCTCCTGTTCTCCACTCTTGCACAGTGATCTGAGGAGCTGAGTCAGCAGAGGAACTATCAGTGTGTGCTATACATTATTGCTTCTCTGAATATTGATTATATGAGTTGGACAGTGCTCACTCTGCTTGAGTTAATAGAGGTCTTACAGAAGTAAGGAGTGCTAGGTGTGGTGGCTCACTCCTGCAGTCCCAGCACTTTTCATAGGAGGATACTTAAGCTCAGGACCAGCCTGGGCAATATAGCAAGACTTCGCCTCTACTAAAAATCAAAAACATTAGTTGGGCGTGATGGTACACACCTATAGGCCCAGTTACGTGGCCCAGTTACTCCGGAAGAGTGAGGCTGCAGTGAGCTCTGATCATACCACTGCACTCCAGCCTGGCTGAAAGAGTGAGACCCTGTCCCAAAAAATAAAAATTTAATTTTTTTTTTTTAAGTAAGGAGCGGTGCTGTTTAAGATAGGAAAAGATAACAAAATGTAGACTGGAAGAGAAAACAAGATTTTAAAAAATCTGCCTAGTGAGAACTTTTCAGGCAGTAGAAACTCACATTACTAAGTGAGGGAGCAACAAACGAACACCATCCTCCTTTATGCAGTGCTTTTCTCTCCTTTGTTTGAGGCTTCTCCCCTCATTCACCAGCCAGATGATTCCACGGATGGGACTTTTCCCAGTGCAGATCTGCCGGCTCCATGCTCTGCCTCAGCCCTTCTCACCTGCCTGCTTGAGTGCCCAGCCCCACACCTCCACTTACTCTCCTTTTCTGGCTCCTGCAGATGGATTAAAGGAGCCTAGCCCTAGGCCAGTGAAGGGACTGGAGCTCTGGTCCTCACCTTGGCCGAGCATGAGAATCCTCTGGTGACATTTTCCAAAGTTCAGGTGACCACCTCTGTACAGAGCTGCTGAATCAAGAGTCTAGAACAGGTAGGTCACAAATATCTGCATCTTTACACTTTACTCCTCAGGTGATTCTCATGCACAGCTAAGGTTGAGAGTCAGTAGACCACACGTTCAAAATTCTAGAGGCATGAGACAAGTGCAGTAGTCTTAAGACATATGACGTGCACCCGTAGTCCCAGCTACTCACTGTACACCCGCCTGGACAACTGAAAAACCCTGTCTCTTTACAAAACAAAAGAAGACACAGCTAAACTAGTGTTGAGGAAACAGAAACTCGAAAGCAAGGAAATAAAGATACAGACAGGGTCTGAACAAGCTCTCACCTGAGTGGGCTGCAGGTTTTGGGGGAAGAGTTATGCAGGGGCCTCCTCGAGGGCCACGCGAGCACGTGCTTTGTAGTCATTTATTGCCCTTAACCAGTTCACATACTCTTCTGTATGTATGTATATGATGTTTTACAATAAACAATTCAAATCTTGGCTCTTCGCCATTCCATGGGTACTAGCCCTATTTTCTCCATCTATAAAGTAGGAACATTTTAATATACTTCTCAGGATTATTGTGGGAATTAAATAGAGGAAATGCCGGGCGTGTTTATCAGTAGGAATCCACTCCCTTTTCCATGAGTCGTCTGCTCGCTTTTCTTTCTCCCACCTGCTGTTACTGACCCCAGCACACCTCAGTCCTTTCTGGAAAGCTAGATGCTTTGTTCCTTTAAGTTCCTTCCTGATATGTTCCTGTTAACTCTTCAGGAATATTTTCCACAGTGGTGGGAAATGGAGCTTGGAGGCATCTGGAAGGAGACCCAGACTCCCTGGCTGGCTTTTTTTTTTTTCCTTCCCTGGGCTTTTAAACTTGGAAAGTCCCAGGACTGGACCCCTGGACAGCTGTCTCTTCCTCCCCAGAAAAGCTCACTAGTTGAAACTACCATTAGACTCAAAAAAAAAAAAAGTATCCCCTGTCCTGACCTCTGAGCACTGAGCTCCAGAGTTACACATGAGCTGTTAGTTGACATCTCCTTCTGGTTGTCCAAGACACATCAAACTTAACTTCCAAAACCAAATACTTATTCCTCTCCATAAACGGAACCCCCATTCCTCGGAATTCTTAGAAAATGGCACAACACTTTCCACCCCACTGTTAAAAGAAAAACTTGGACCTGGGTGTGGTGGCTCATGCCTGTAATCCCAGCACTTTGGGAGGCCAAGGTGGACAGATCACGTGAGGTCAGGAGTTCAAGACCAGCCTGGCCTACATGGTGAAACCTCATCTCTACTGACATACAAAAATTAGCAGGGCATGGTGACGGATGCCTGTAATCCCAGCTACTTAGGAGGCTGAGGCCGGAGAATTGCTTGAACCTGGGAGACAGAGGTTGCAGTGAGCCGAGATCATGCCATTGCACTCCAGCCTGGGCAACAAGAGCAAAACTCCATCTCTTTAAAAAAAAAAAAAAAAAAAGAAAAATTTGAGCTTCATCCTTGATTTCCTCTCTTTCCACCAGTATCTCACAAGTCCAATTGATGGTTTCATCACAGAATACTTCAGCTCATCTCTATTTGTACAGCCCCACTACCACCACCCCCATACAGGCCACAGACAATTGCTCTGCCCGCTGCTTCTACCTCTGTACTCTTTCATCCAGTCTCCACCCAGCAGCTGAAGCAGTCATTTAAAAATACAGACCATTTTTCATTTCTTTCCTGCAGAATGCCCCCTGGTAGCCCTTCAAATCAGTGTTACCCAGGCCCTCCCTGAGTTGTCCCCTGCCCACCCCTATCCTCTTCCCCTGCTTGCTGCAGCCCAGCCTCACTGTCCCTGTGTAGTGCTCCTGCCTGAGGAGGCTCTGGTTTGTCATTCAGGGCTCTACACCAATGACATGCTAGATACCCCCACCCAAGGAACCCTCAGTCACATTACCCTGTTTGATTTTCTCCATGACACTTAATCATCACCTGATGCATGCTGTCAGGTTTCGTTCCTCTGTG